GGATATACGATGGGCCAGAATCGTACGTAAAATGCAGGACGAAAAAGGGATGGCCGCCCCACGGACCCCAGGAACAAGATGCTTGTTGTTGCTTGGGGGGTGATAAATGAGGGGGCAGCGACGGTTGCAGAGAAGGGCCCTTCAGGGCCCCTGTACTGGCCCTTGAGGGCCCAGGGCACCTTTCTCCCCCTCAATGTATTCCTCCCCTTACTTTGCGCCCAAGTTGTTGAAGCCAGCTCTGACCTTGAAGGCCCCAGTGGCTGCGTTCGAAGTGGTAGTGCGGCACCCGGTTCGGAACACCACTCACACGCCTCGTGGCCCCAAAAGGGAGCTGTTACACCGAGAGCGGTACCCACAACGCGGCACAGTCACAGTTGCGCATCTTCGGGTCCTTCGCCCGATTTTTGTCGGTTGAGTCCAGATCTGACCTTGAAGGGAACCTGGCTTCGAATTTGCTACCAATTTCGATCCCTGCCCCTGCGAATCCAATCGGCGGGGGAGTGTCGGGCACTGCATCTTGCGAATTCTGACCCTCAGCCGCCCCTTTACGGGGAGTAGTGAACCTCCTCATCCTTCCCATCCTCCTCCTCCTCCTCCTCCTCCTCCTCCTCCTCCCCCTCTTTCCCATCCTCCTCCTTCGCTGACCTGGAGGGGTAGGGTAAACGTGAGGTTGCCGATCGAAGTCGGATCCAGCTTCAATTCATGCCCATGTCGTTCAATGAAGACATGGCGTCATGTAAGTTGCCTCCCGAGTAGGTCGGTCTTCCCCCCCCCGCCACCGTCCCTTGCTACCAGCAGCAAGCTGCCGCGATGGCGCAGATGCAGCAGCTGCTGGAGTCGCAGAAGACTCTGGCCAGGAGGGGGCCCGTGATCCTCTTCTGTCTCGCCTGTCTTCCTCGTCACCCCGTCCGGAGCCCAGGCCTCAACGTATTGAAAACAACAAAACGGGCGTGTTTTGCAACCTTCGGCCTTCGGAGGCCCTCGCTGGGCCCCCGGACCGTCAAAAAACAACCCAGGATGAGAAACAGGTCCCAGGGAAGGGGCCGGGATTTCTGGAGACCCCGTACAGTTGAGGTTCATGCCAAGAAACCCTGCTTGCCTCCAGGGTGCCCGGGGTTTCTTGGGTTTCGACGGTTTTGCTGTGGAAAGCGTGACGCTCACACATCAAGAAGCAGAGGACGTCCTGGGGCCTCAGGGTTGGGTTTCTTGTGGAAGGTTTCTCGTGTGGTCGGGCGCCTACTGTGTTGGAACAAGTCAAGCCATCTGGTACACACTATTCTGCGTACAGCCGCACGCGTGCGCCGAGGCAGCAGTGAATTTGGGTGCGGGTATAGCGAGGCGCGGCGGGTGGGTGAAGGGGACATCGGAGGGAGGGGGGACGAGGAAAATGGGGACGAAAAAGGGAGGAGAGGGAGGAGGAGGAGAGGGAGGAGGAGGAGGAGGAGGAGGAGGCAGGGGGGAGGGGGGACGAGGAAGGGGTGACGAGAGAGAGGGAGGGAGCGAGGCACGTTTTCCTCCTCCGGCGCCTTGAGAGTCACGAGCGCGTGCGGTGCGGCGTGGGGCGCAGCATCACTCGCGCGTCCGCACGGGTGCTGGACGCGCTCGAGCCCAGCTGCGCGGGAGCACCCCCGGGTGCGACGCAGCAGAACGGGGCCGTCTGCGCCGACGTTGGCGCGCAGGCTGCCCGCGTGAGGCCGCGCGCCGGCGCCCTCGTCGCCGATGCAGCGTGCCGCGCCGGCGGCCCCCGCAAGCAAGCCAGGAGGAGGAGGAGGAGGAGGAGGAGGAGGAGGAGGAGGAGGAGGAGGAGGGAGGAGTAGGAGGAGAAGGAGGAGGAGGAGAAGGAGGAGGAGGAGGAGGAGGAAGCCACCGCTCAGGGGCAACGGCAGGTGGGGCTGGGCGTAGGGCTAAGTCGGGCGTGTCCTTTTACAGGAGGAAAATTCAAAGATAGTCAAAACATAGTCTGGGGGCGATGTTTCTGCTGTGTTTGATGTTTTTTTAAAGGAATTTGGGGTATGTTTTGATGTTCCTCTAAAGTCTGCCTAGAGGGGGACAGGCCCGACCTGGGCATAGGGGGGGATGCATCGACCCCCTATGGCCCATTGATCGCCGATAGGGTCCCGATAGTCCCACCCCGCCCAGGAGCGTGCGAATTCACTATCGGGGGCCTGTCGCTGATCTATCGCCGATGCATCCCCGATTCCATGTCGATGCTTCTCCCTCCACGTGTGCCCATCCCGACCCCCCCCATCGTTGCCCCGCAACCGTGTAAGGTCGCTATGCCATCTCACGTAAGACCCGGTTTTCACCACCCGCCAAACCACCCCGACCCAACCCGAGGGCCCAAATCTACCCTCGATTTCCAGTGGTGGGGGGGTCGAGGAACATTGAAAAAACACATGGAACCCGCACCCCCCCCCAACCCGAAATTCGGGTCAAAATCAGGTCTTGGGTTGGGGTGGTCTGGTAGGTACTCAGGTGTTGATCCTCGCCCGCTTTTTTCTGGGGGGGGGGGGGGTCGCGGCGGTGGGCGGTCGCGCGGCACGGCCAGGCCTGGGCCGGACAGGCGGGGAGCAGGCGAGGGCGGCTCCGCGGAGGGGGGACCGCGGGCCGGCGACGCAAAGGGGGGGTCCTGAGGGGTGGGGGCCCAAGCGGGTATAGCCAGGACCCCAGGTGGGGTCCTGAGGGGTGGGGGCCCAAGCGGGTACAGCCAGGAGCCCAGGTGGGGTCCTGAGGGGTGGGGGCCCAAGCGGGTATAGCCAGGACCCCAGGTGGGGTCCTGAGGGGTGGGGACCCAAGCGGGTATAGCCAGGACCCCAGGTGAAGTCCTGAGGGGTGGGGCCCCAAGCGGGTATAGCCAGGACCCCAGGTAAGGGGACCTGGATGGTAGTGGGCCCCGGAGCCCCTAAGTTGGCCAGGATCACTACATCAGGACTGCCGTAGCTGGTTTTCTTTTCGGGTGACAGCAGTTCCGGTTCGTGGAACGGGGCGGGGAGGGGGTCCCCCAGCACACATGACTAAACCAGGTCTCACTAAACCCAGTTCTGCAAATGCCCGACCCAAGGATAGGAAGGGGCCAAGGGTATATCGACGTTGTTTGAGGCATCTCGTCCTTAGGTCGAAGGAGAAGAAACGGCAGAAGCATAAGCTTGCTGCGCTCCGCGACGATTTCCTGGATCCGCGCTGGGCCCCCCCGACGGAGCTTCCAGCGCCGCCCCTGGCCAGTTTATGTTTATGTTGCTTTTTCTTCTTCTAGTGGGCCTGTTTTCCACCACCAACACCACCATACGCTGGAGGGGGAGGGGGTCCTCCTCCTCCTCCTCCTCCCCCTCCTCCTCCTCCTCCTCCTCCTCCTCCTCCTCCTCCTCCTCCTCCTCCTCTTCGTCCTCCTCCTTCTCGTCCTCCACCTCCTTCCCCCCTCCAACTGATGATGGTGGTGGAAGATAGGCCCATCATCTTCTATCAAGACCCCCTTCGGACCCCCCGCTCTGGACCACCGAGCGGGCAGGCGAGGCGCTCAGAGAACGTGCCGTGCGCTCCGCGCTGGCGTGGCGGCACGGTCTCGTGAGGAGGTGCAGGGGCGCAACTTGAGAATCGGCGGCGAGCGAGGAGGAGGAGGAGGAGGAGGAGGAGGAGGAGGATCGGCGGCGTGCGAGGGGGGAGAACTTGGAGGTTCGATCTTCGAGGTTCGAGGTCCGATGCGCTTTGGCGTCGTTTTCAGCCTCTGGGGGCCGCTTTAGGGCCTCGGAGCTCCCGAAACTCGATCCGTGTGAAGAACAGCGTCGGATGGACCACGGGAGGGGTCTGGGGACCGATTTTGACCGACATTCGGCGGTGCGCCCAGGGGGGGAAGTGAGAAGGAGAAGGACGTCTCAGAAGGCGGGGGACTTCTCAGAAGCCCTCGCGCCTTCTGAGCATTTCTGTGGTGTCTTCTGGGGAGGCGTATGACACTTCTCAGAAGGCCAGGGAACTTTCGAGCTTTCTGAGATCTGAGAAGGCCTTCTCCCTCTCACTTCCCCCCTCGCACGCCTCCGATTGAAGAAGAAATGGCAGAAACAAGAAGTTCCGAAGCTCCTCGCGGATCTCTTGCATCTGCCCTCGTTCCCCCTGGCGGCGCCTCCGGCGCCGCCCTTGGCGCGCTCCGCGCGCCCTGTTCGACAACCGCCAAAAGTTTATGTGTACGCAGTTGTTCTTCCTCTAAACACTAGGGGGCCACACGTGAACCTGCCCCTGCCCCCCACGATTTCTGAGGGGGAGGGTGGGGTTCAATTCGTTCGGGAGCTCCCGAGTGAAGTGAACCCCTTAGAGTGGGGGGTAGGGGTAGGGGGGGGTAAAGAGCCCCTTAGAGCGTAGTGAACCCCTTAGAGCGAAGTGAACCTCTTCGGGAGCTCCCGAGCTCCCCTCCCCCTCAGAAATCGTGGGGGGTAGGCTTAAGTCGGGCATGTCCCTCTACAGGGGGAATGTTCAAAAACAATCAAAAAATAGTGGGGGGACGATTGTTTGAGCATTTCTTTCTACTATTTTGGTGCATCTTTTGAGTATTTTTACTTGTTCACCCAAAATTCCCCTGTAGGAGGACATGCCCGACCTAAGGGTAGGGGTAGGGTTCACATGTGGCCCCTCAAAACACGCCCACGTACTCTTTTTTTTGTTTCTCTCTCTCTCTCTCTCGGTGGAGAGGCGCGCGGCGGCACCACGGTAGCCAGACGCCCGCGCGGGGCCGAAGCGCTCCAGGCACGCGCCGCCGGAGGGAAGCCACACACACGCACACACACACACACACACACACGCACACACACACACACGCACACGCACATGCACACGCACTCGCACACACGCACACACACACACACACACACACACACACACACGCGCGCGCGCGCACGCACGCACGCACGCACGCACGCACGCACGCACGCACGCACGCACGCACGCACAACACACACACATGTTCGTTCGTTGCTCCGTCCGACGCCGTGGCGCACTGCTGTGTGAACGGCCCTCGTATTGGGATGGTGGGAACGAGTTGCCCTGCGCACGCGTGCGGCGTCGTGTGCAGGCCACAGGCAGACGTGGAGTCCCAGATTGGGGGCGGGCCGAGAGGAAGCAGTACGGGGGAGCGGGCGTCAGGAATGCCAATCAGCATGCACATGCAGAGGGGGGGGGGGCCGAGACAGGAAACATCGCGTCGCAGCCAAATCATGTGAAGTCGGGCATGTCCCTCTACAGGAGGAGTATCCAGAAACAGTACAACAATCTGGGGACGATCTTTGTTCTACTTGGGATTATGTGGGGGTGTTTGTCTGCCTTTTTTTATTTTTCTTTCACGATCCGCCTGTAGGGGGACACGCCCGACCCAAAAAATAATGGGGAGCACGAAGAAGCTCGACCTGGCCGATCGGGGTGACACTGCAGGCGCGCTAGAGGTGCCAACGCGGCGCGCGAGCGCGCAGCAGAAACGGCACGAGGAGAGGCGTGGCCAGGAGCCGCCCAGGAAACAACAGCGAGGGTGCGGAGACACTCGGTGTACAGTCGGCCCTGATTAGCAGGTCGACCCTGCCAAATCAAGGGTACCCTTGTGTCCTGTTTCTCTCGACCCATGCCTCCTACATTCCTATGGCAGGGTGCCCCTCGGAGGGGTCTTGTGTCCTCTCGCGTGTCCTCTCCAATCAAGCCCGACTGTATTCCCGATCTCGACCGCTACTTGTTGGCGACGCGTTTCGGACTCCGGGTCTTCTTCTTGGCCACGAGCGGCTGCGGGGCTCCCGCGTGCAGGCTGTGCAGCGCGCGGGCAAGGCGATTCTACGTCAGAATCGCTAGGGGGGGAACAAAAACCGCTGCCCACCCACCCCACTTAGGCAAAGCAAGCCGCTGCAGCAATCGGAGCACGTCCTTCCGAACAGCGGGGGTGCGCAGGCAGAGACTGAGGCGGAGAGGGAGGGCCCGAGCCGGGGAGGGCGCCACCCCCCTGGGCGGCGAGGAGAGTGTCAGAGCCTGGCAGCTGTGAGCGGCGAATGGGGGACGCGGCGAGGAGCACCGCACAGCATGCACAACACGCCCACGGGCAGTGTGAGTGCGTCTGCGAGAGGGGCCAGCGAGACGAGAGAAGAGGGCCCGAACGGCCGCAGCGTGGATGGTGGGGCGCCGCAATATCACATACGATCACACGCGACCGTTTCATAGAACCAGACACAATCACGCACGATCGCCCGCGATCGCCCGCGACCATACACGATCACACACAATCGCGCACGACCACACACGACCACGCTCGACCAGACGACCATGCAGGATCACACACGAGTTCACACGCATGGAAACGCAGAGGCACGCACACAAACGCACACGCGCACATACGCGCACACGCGCAATTACGCACGATCGCGCGCAATTGCGCACTCGTGCGGACACGCGGACAACAGCACACGCACACGCACGTGCGCACACTCCCAAACACACACACACACACAGACACACACACACACAAAACACACACACATAACACACACACACACACACGCTCACACACACACGCTCACACACACAACACACACAACACACACGCTCACACACACACACTTTCACACACACGCACGCAACACGCACACACACACAACAAACACGGACACACACACACATACACACACACACACACACACACGCACGCACGCACGCACGCACGCACGCACGCACGCACACACAGATAATTATGCGCCGTGTGCGGGTTTATGCCACGGCTGTGGTAGCGCGCGTTGCTACACAAACATACTAAAAGAGTGCGGGGGTTCTCGGCATTCCAGCCTGGCCGCGTTTGCTCTTCTCAATGTTTGGGCGATTCGCGCGTTTGTTCACCTCTATGCTCTCTTTCCTCCTCGCTTCCTCCCAACTCCAGCCCTCGCCATCCCCAATTTCATCATCCTCGCCACCATCCTCGTCACCACCATCTTCGCCGCTTGCCCCACTTCCTGGGCCGAAAGTCGATGTTTCTCTAAAATGTCGGCGGCGGGCCCAGGAGGAAAGTGAGCTGGGGCAGGTCTTCTCTGAAGGCGGCGGGGCTTCTCAGAAGCCCTCGCGGCTTCTGATAGATTGTCCATGTCTTCGGGGAAGGCTCAGGAAACTCTTGGAAGGCCCGAGGCTGTCCGAACCTTCTGAGAAGGCCCGCCCATTCTCACTTCCCCCCCTGGGCTCGCCGCCGACAGGTCGGGGGAGGATGGACAGGAGGGGGAGGAGGAGGAGGAGGCAGGAAGATGCAGGAAGAGGGAGGAGGAGGAGGAGGAGGAGGAGGAGGAGGAGGAGGAGGAGGAGGAGGAGGAGGAGGGAGGGAGGGAGGGAGGAAGGGAGGGAGCGATCGCAGTTGCCAGTCCCCCCGATGGCACTCGGGCGAACTGGTGCAGGGAGTCGAGCCGGCGACCGCCCGCGCCCGCGCGACTCGGCGAGGCTGACCTCGAAGTGCTTCGACGCCTGCGTCTCGAGCCCCGGCAAGGCCCTCTTCGACAGCCAGCAGGTCTGCGTCTGGAGGCGGCCCGGGGCTCTGCTTACGCCCTCCGCACCAGCCTTCCGCGAAGAAGAAAACAAATAGGAACAATAAGAGTAATAGTTGTATTACTCATACTACAACTACTGATAATAATACTAATAATTGTAATAATACGAATACGAACAACAACAATAATAATAATAAGAATAAGAAGAAGAAGACGAAGTAGTACATCAAACAACGCGAAAACTGCATCAGCATGATAGGGCCGGACGCCGTGCTGTGCTCTCGTGGACTTGCGAAGGAGAACGGCGGGAGGTCCCTCCCCGGGAGGATGCCCTGGGCGGATGAACGGGAGGGGAGACTCGAGGACGAACAAAGTGTTAAGTCGGGCCTGCCCCTCTACAGGGGGAATATTCCAAAACAGTCCCAAACTGGGCTGGGGACGATTTTTCGACCACTCTGGAGTATTGTTGAATATTTCTTGAGTATGTCTTACCCTTCGTCCAACATCCCCCTGCAGGGGGACACGCCCGACCTCACCGAACTGCCATCAGCACGTCTTCTCGGAGTTCCGGGCGGACTTCTCGGACCTGCGCTCGGCCCCCTTGGCGGCGCCCCCGGCGCGCTCCGCGCGCCAGGGAGGGGGGGGTTCGCGCCGACCTCAGAAGCCTGGCCGGAGATCCGAATTTTACAGATGCTGCAGTGGGCTTGGCATCGCTCGGACGTGTGCATTTCTGCTTCGGCGAGGGCCATCGAGGAACATCCTTGATCACTAGCCGAAAGAACCACGCACGAAACGGAAAAAAACACAGGGAATGGACGTCCGAGCGATGGCGAGTGGGCGTTTCCTCGATGTCGTGCCCTCCCCACCCTATGTCCCCTCCGGGCTTGAACTATCATCCTGATCGTCGTCGTCGTCCTCCGTGCTTTCTCCCCTCCTCGTCCGGGTGCGTGACATCGTCGCGGTCGACAGCTTGCCCCTTAGGAGATCCCCACCCCTGTCTCCCTCCTCTGTCTCGTGGTCGCCGTCCTCCTCCCCCTCGAGGCTTTCAAATGCTAACGCTCACCCTCCCTGCTCCTCGTCGTTGTGCGCCCCACTCCCCTCTAACGCTGCAGCATCTCGCGTGCAGATCCCACTCCATCCTTTCTTTACTGTGCTGCTGCTAATCCTCGTCTCCTTCTTCCCGTTGCTTCTCTCCTGCCTCCCGTTTCCTCTCCATCCTCCACCCTCAGTTTCTCTTTCTCACACGTCCTCCCAAGTCTCCTTCCTGGCCGTCCTCCTCATTCTCTTCCTCCTCTCGGGCTTTTGCTTCTCGGTCTTACTTGTGCCTCCTCCCCTTCCGTAATTAGTCCACATGAATGCAGCTCTGCTGTGCCCCCTGATCATGTTGAGTGCTGGAGCCTCTCTCCCGCGCATTTCTTCACGCATCCACAGGCTGTCAACGTTGATCCGTTCTACGTGACGGTTTGCTTCTCAGTCGGAGCGTTCTCGATCCTGTCATGTTGGCGTTCCCGCTGCAGCGTTGGCCACACTTCAGGATCGGCGCGTCGATCCTTCTCAGTCGGGGCGTTGACCTAAGGAACCCTTGTTTTCCATAAGTTAAGCTTCGATCCCCCATAGAAAACCAACAGGAAAACCCAGGGCAAGCTGCGAAACAGTTGAGGAACACAGAGCCCCTCCCCTACGCAAAGGGTTCCTTCTTCGGCTTCCCGGCTGTACTCATTCCACTCTTGCTATTGATCCTCCTCTTGCTCTTTCCTCGTCCTCTTCCTTCCCGCTCATCATCCAGATCTTCCTCCACGTTTCGCTTCTTCTCCCCCCACACCAAATCGTCGTGTACCCGCTTGCGGGCTGCTCGCCACAAGGATTGTTCAACATGGATATTGGTGTGCGCCCGCGGTGGAGCAAATATTCTGATCATCCGCCACCTCTTCCAATGTACACAGCCTCTCCTTTCATGTGCATCACACGGGGGGTCATTCGGGGAATCGAAGTCTTCCGCGAGGCCCCCTTCTGCGGATGTGAATGGATTTGGCTTAATGGGGAGGGACGGGCGGGAGGGGTAGGATCGGAGGTTGGGGGGTGAGATCGCAGTGGAACGGAGAGCCCCCCCACCAGGACATCGGTTTCGGATTGCGATATCGAACGCGAGATCTAGACCTACAGTGAGACTGATGGTGAGAACTCTAGTGAGATCGATCGAGTGTGATCGATCATGTGAGGTCGATAGTTGGATCGATCGAGTGAGATCGAAAGCGGGGACGATAGTGGCATTACATTGCAGCGCAGCATCGTCATCACGCGTCGTCGCTAACTCGAGGGTGCGTCACCAGTATCGTCATCATCGCACCCCCCGCATTTGCCAGTTGTTGGTTGTACCCCTCCCCCACACACGCACACATACACACACAACACACAACACACAACACACAACACACAACGCAACACACACACACATCCTTATCATCCGAAGGGTGGTCGTATAGGTACCAGATATGGCGCGAGCACACCTGGCGTACCTCCATCCCCTCCTCCCCATCCTCCTCCTTTCCCACCTTGCTTTTGTCCTCATTATCCACCTGCCCCCGCCCTCCCCCTCCCTCCTCCTCCTCCGCGTCCTCCTCTGCGTCCTCCTCCTCCTCCTCCTCCTCCTCCTCATCCACCTCCTCCTCATTCTCCCCTCTTTCCCCGCCTGCGCCAGCCCCTTCCTCCTGGCCGTCGTCCTCCTGATGAGTGTTCGCCTTTTCCTCCCGCCCCCTTCCGTCTCTTAGGCATCGCGCGCTTCGCCCACATCTGGTCCAGGCGCCTTGTTCTGACCCCGGTTGATAATCTCCTCGATGTGGAGCCCGATGTTCTCCAAGCCGACGTCGCCGATGCATCGTTGACGGCGATGCAGGGCGATCACCAGGCCACATCTATTTTGACCCGATGTTGGAGGCCTCTAGGTGAAGGGAGGAGGAGAAGGAAGGAAGAGGAATGGGAAGACGAGGGATAGGATGAATGTACAGTTGACATAGGGCGAGGAGGGAGTTGGAGGAGGAGAGGAGGATGAGGAGAAGATGGAGCATGACGAGGAGGTGCTGGGGGTGCAGCCTGCTGCGAGGTGCGCTCAGAGATACATGGAAACCCAGCACTTCATCAAGACACGGATGGATGACAAGATTGAGTCTGGCACCTGGAAACCACCGACGGTGGACTTGCAGTAGTTATGACAAGGCCTCCGGCGCTTCACGGTTCAACATTGCAGATTTGGGGCAAAGTATTCCGGTGCGTTGAGTGTTGCCAGGACTTGTTTGGAGCCTAGAGGGCCGACAAGTTGAGGGAGGCGATCCAGTTTCGTTTGAACTACAGGCGAAAGACACATTGTGGGCGTTTTGTACCCAAGAGACGGGCGTTTTCCCTTCAGCGAATGCATGCCGTTCAGGGGCAAGTTCGTCGTTGATGTGCCGAAGTGGAACATGTAAACTACCGTACTGCAGGGCACCGACCTGCAGGACACCTTGTTTTTTGCACTGCGTTTTTTGGTCGACTGCAGTTGTTTTACGAGTCCAGTTACATACCTTCGCGCTCCATTCGTTGCGCCTCGGCGAAGGTGGGTAAGCAGATGTGTGTTCGGAGACCCAGACCCCAGAGGTTCTGGGCGCCTTCGTCTTCAAACACCCGCGGCCTCCGACCAAACTGGCTTGCTGCTTGGGCGGGGCCGAAGCCGTGCTCGCAGCCGACGCATGGTCAAGCAACGGCCGTCGAACGCGTAGATGACCCGTGGATGTTCCTTCTGGACGTAGGTTCTCAGGAGGGGCAGAACACACACACACACACACACTCACAGACACAAGTAATCGTCGACTCCCAGGAAAAGATGGGAACCGATGGGGAGGTGGGGGGGAAGACGAACACCCAGAAAATATGAGACAATGAAGGGGAATTCTGGGATTCGTGCTTATTTATCTGTGCCCCTGGAAATTTAGGGTTCCCCGATCAGCACAGATGGCCTCGCACCGCCCCCCCGCCCCCCATCTGCACCACAAACTCGCCGACCCCGGCGCCTGCGCGGGAGCCGTCTCGACTCTCCTCCTCATCCTCCTCCTACTTCTCCCTCCTCCCACCTCCCACCTCCGTCCTCCCTCCTCCCTCCTCCCTCCTCCCTCCCCCCTCCCTCCCTCCCTCCCTCCTCCTCCTCCTCCACCACCTCCCTCCGCCTCCTACCCTCCTCCCTCCTCCTCCTCCCTCCTCCTCCTCCCTTCCTCCCTCCTCCCTCCTCCCTCTCCCTCCTCCCGTCCTCCTCTCCTCCCTCCTCCCTCCTCCCTCCTCCCTCTCCCTCCTCCCTCCCTCCTCCTCTCCTACCACCTCCTCCGCCTCCCCACTCCTCCTCCTCCTTCTTCTCCTCCTCCCCCTTCCTCCTTCCTCCTCCTCCTCCTCCTCCTCCTCCTCCTCCTCCTCCTCCTCCTCCTCCCTCCTCCCTTCCTTCCTTCCTTCCTTCTCCTTTCTTCCTCCTCCCTCCTCCCTCCTCCCTCCTCCCTCCTCCTCCCTCCTCCCTCCGTCGCCTCCCTCCTTCCTCATTCCTCCTCCCTCCCTCCTTCCTCCTCCCTCCTCCCTCCTCCCTCCTCACTCCTCCCATCCTCCCTCCTCCCTCCTCCCTCCTCCCTCCTTCCTCCGTCCCTCCTCCTCCCTCCCGCCCCCCTCCTCTTCCTCCCTCCTCCCTCCTCCCTTCTTCCCTCCTCCCTCCGCCCTCTCCTCCTCCCTCCATTCCCTCCTCCCTGCTCCCTCCTTCCTCCTCCCCCCGCCTCCTCCCTCCTCCTCCTCACTCCTCCCTCCTCCCTCCCTCCTTCCTCCTCCCCTCCTCCTCCTCCCTCCTCCCTCCTGCTCCTCCTCCTCCTCCTACCTCCTCCTCCTCCTCCCTCTCTCCTCCTCGCTCCCTCCCCTCCGCCTCCGCCTCCGCCCCTCCTCCTCCCTCTCCTCCTCCTCCTCCTCCCACCTCCTCCTCCTCCTCCTCCCCCTCCCCCTCCCCCTCCTCGTCCCCTCCTCGCTCATCCTCCTTCTCCTCCTCCTCCTCTTCCTCCTCCTCCTCCTCTTCCTCCTCCGTGTCATCCTCCTCCTCCTCTTTCTCTTCCTTTTCCTCTTCCTCTTCCTTCTCCTTCTCCTCCTCCTCCTCTCCCTCCTCCCTCCTCCCTCCTCCTCCTCCTGCTCCTCCCTTTCCTTCTCCTCCATCCCTTCTCCTTATAGATAACCTCCTTCCTGTCGCACCCCGAGGCCATGTTTGAGAGAGCGGGCCGCTCATTTCGCCAGAGACTTCCTCACCATGTATGGCCCTGAAGCTTGCAAAGTGGCAACAGCTTCACAGATGGAGGGCGGGCCGCTTTCAAAATGTGGTTCTCGCCCTAGCGCCGCGCACATTCGCTTTGAACATTTGCAAGAGTTTTACGGATTGAGGGCGGGTGGTTTTCAAAATGTGATTCTCGACTTAGCGCCGCGCACATTTGTTTAAAGTTGCAAGAGTTTGATTGATTTTGGGCGGGTGGTTTTCAAGACGTTGCTCTCGCCTTAGCGCCGCGCACATTCGGTTTATTCATGTGCAGGAGCTTCACGGATTGAGGCCGGCTCCTTTTCAAATTGTGGTTCTCGCGTTAGTGCCGCGCACATTCGTTTTATACACTTGCGTGAGTTTCACGGATTGAGGCCGGTTCTTTTCCAAATTGTGGTTCTCGCGTTAGCGCCGCGCACATTCGTTTTAAACATTTGCAAGAGCTTCACCGATTGAAGGCGGGTCGTTTTCGAAATGTGACTCGTCTTAGCGCCGCGCACATTCATTTTAAACATTTGCAAGAGGTTCACGGATTCCCATGGTCAACTCACCAGAAATTGTGTTTTGGAAGGATTCAGGATTTTGCGGGCGCAACAGTTATGTTGATTCGCGGTGTTGAAGTCCCAAAACGTGGTTCTGGCACGATTCTGGATCGTCAAGACGCAGCAGTCATGTTGATGCGTGGCGTTGAAATCCCGAGAGCAATGTTTTGACACGTTTCGGGATCTTCAAACGGTTGTCTTCCAACGAGGCAGTTTCCTCAATGTAAATGAACTGTTGTATGGGGCCTACGAAGAGGGAGCTTGGAGGGAGGGTTCATTCCAACATCGTTGATGACTCTTGGGTTTACACTGGTCCTCCTCCTCCTCCTCCTCCTCCTCTTCGAGTCGATTCGATTTCGAGCATTTCGATCTCGACTCGATTCGATTCGACGCCGAACTCCGACGTCGGGCTGGGCGTTTCCCTGCGAAGGGCTCGGCTCTGGCCGCCCGGCGCCGATGCCGATACCTTCCGAGTTCTGCCCGCCGCGTTCTGCCGAGTGGGTGTATTTCGATGTTCGGTGCGATTGCGCTTCGATCTTGGGTCGTCTGGCCTTTTTCCTCCTCCTCCCCCTCCTCCCCCTCCCCCTCCTCCTCCTCCTCCTCCCCCTCCTCCTCCTCCTCCTCCTCCTCCTCCTCCTCCTGCTACTCCTCCTCCTACTCCTTCTCCTCCTCCTCCTCCTCTTCCTCCTCCTTCAACCAGGCAGGGCGAGCACCAGGTCCGGGTCCGAATGTCGCTGAGCCGGATAGCGGCCCCCGTGGGCTGCACGTCGGGGAAAGAGCGCCGCTTCAACAGAATCCTGACCGTCGGAGATCTGGGCCTGACCGTCCCGGGGCCAGGGTCGGCCAGCACCGAGCTCGACGCTACGTAAGAGCGGCCCTTCGCCGGAGTGACCTTTGGCGCGCGGGCCCATTGGGAGTCCCTGAAGGGTTTCTCCGAAGGTCTTGGGCGACCCGTCCTCCTCCTCCTCGTCTTCCTCCGCATCCTCCTTCATCTCCTCCCCCCTCCTCCTCCTTCACCTCCTCGTGACCAGTGCTTCCCTACGACCGAATTCCCAACACCACCGTGGAGCAACGTCGCCGCTGGCGCGGCCTTGGGCGGACCCGTCGGAGTCCCCCGATCCCTGTATGCGGCGCGACAGCAGCGGCCTGCGCCCCTGGGCGCGGCCCCGTGCCCCGCGCAACCCCCGAACGGCGCGCACCGGAGGTCACTCCTGCCTGCGTGGAAGCCGGAAACGTTCAGGGGCAACGATGATTAGGGGGGGCAGGCACAGGGGGGGATGCATCTCCCTTTCCTCCTCTCCTCCGCCTCCTCCTCCGCCTCCCTACCTCCTCCTCCTCCTCCTCCTCCTCCTCCCTCCTCCGCCTCCCTCCTCCCCTCCCCCCTCCTCCTTCCTCCTCCTCCTCCTCGCCTCCTCCTCCTCCTCCTCCTCCTCCTCCTCCTCCTCCTCCCATCCCCCTCTCCTCCTCCTCCTCCCCCCCCTTCCTCCTCCTCTCCTCATCCTCCTCTGCTTCCTCTCCTCTCCTCCTCCTCCTCCCTCCTCCTCCTCCTCCTCCTCCTCCGTCCTCCTCCTCCTCCTCCTCCTCCCCCTCCCCCTCCTCCTCTCCTCCTCCCCTCCTCCTCCTCCTCCGCCGCCCCCTCCTCCTCCTCCTCCTCCCCTCCTCCTCCTCCTCCTCCTCTCCTCCTCCTCCTCCTCCACTCTTCCTCCGCCTCCTCCTCCTCCTTCTCCTCCTCCTTCCTCCTCCTTCCTTCCTTCCTCCTCCTCCTTCTCCGCCTCGCGCCTCCGCCTCCTCCTCCTCCTCCTCCTCCTCCGCCCCGCCTCCTCCTCCCCGCTCCTCCTCCTCTTCCTCCTCCTCCTCCTCCTGCTCCTCCTCCTCCTCCTCCTCCTCCTCCTCCTCCTCCTCGTGTCGCCTACGGCCCCGGCCTCGCGCCTCAGGCCCAGGGATGGGTCGGAAGCCCAACTCGGGTGCAACGATTAGGGGGGACAGGCATCGGGGGGGATGCATCGACCCCCAATCGCCCATTGATCGCTCATAGGGGCCCGATAGCCCCAACCTGCCCAGGAAGGTCGGACTCGCTATCAAAGGCCTATCGCCGAGCTATCGGCGATACATCGCCGATTCCAGGTCGATGCATCCCCCCCTATGCCAGTCCCTCCCTATCGTTGCCCCCCAAGAATGACTGGGGCCAGCCCTTCCACTCTTTCCAGCCCTGGCCAGTTTCCCTTCATGTTTGTCCAGCCCTGGCGACCGCCTCCCTACTGTTTCGGGCTCGCCTCAACCCCCTGCCAGTGCTTCCAGCCCTGGCCACTTCCACGTTCACTGATCTTCCAACTTCACCTTTTCCAGCTTCCCTGTGATCAGG